ATATGAGTTGAACATTTACCTGAGGTAGATACACTCCTTGGAGAGAACAATCATGGGAGAAAGAAGGGCTGCTTATGCACAAGGAGACAGCTCAGGGGGCAGGAGTGCAGAGAGAGATGGACACAGGGAAGAGGTAACTATCAGGAGGAAGTGGGAGGGGAGCTGTTGCATTGTGATAAATTGTGGTCAATGAACTGCTATATGGAAAGTGGATTTGCTCTGTAAATTTTCACCCAAATCACAATAAAAAAGAAAAAAAAGTCTTGCTTATCAACACATAAATGGATAAAAAAGTTATGATATATACACACAATGCAATATTATGCAATGATAAATAATAATGAAGAATCCATGAAACACCTCATAATATGGGTGACCCTGGAGGACACCACGCTGAGCGAAATATGTTAATCACAAAAGTACAAGTATTGGGTTAGTCCACTATTATCAAAAAGTCAAAGAAAGGTTTACACATGGAAAGAAATATTCTTTGATGATTTCCCACATAGGAAGGGAGGGGAGGAGAAATTACTAACTAGATAAGAGACATGCATTAATTTGGGTGAAGGGAAAGACAATATACAAAAAGGGAGTGACCAAAACAGTATCATTAAGGAAAAGGAAGACAAGGAGAAATGCACAAGAGTTATGAATAACAAAGGTAAATACTACCACACATACAATCCTGCATTATCAGTAATAAATATTAATCTCTGAGTGGATACAAAGGTAGGCAGGCAAAATGATCAGGTATATGTAGGTGAACAGTACTATACCCATGACCACATATAGGTTTGGCAGACGATATTTCTACATATGCATTTGTATGTGCTATAAAAATGCCCACATATATATACTAGAGCACATGGGGCAAAGCTATGACAACTTCTTAGCCATAACTAAACACCTTGAGGGAGTGAATTGCTGGCCCTGTTGGCCCAGGAACATAGTTGCTGGGGACATCAAGGTCAACTGACATAACACAGTCCACAAAGACAATGTTCTACAACTTATTTTGGTGAGTAATGATTAGGATCTTAAAATCTTACAAGTGGCCATCTAAGGTTCAACAATTGGTGTCTCCTCATCCAGTGCAAAGAATAGTTAAGAAAATTAAAGACACATGGAAACAATTAGTTTAAGTGACTAGTGGACCACAGGAAACTCAGCTTCCACAACTATGAGACCAGAAAAACTAGATGGCATCTGACTATCACTGCTAACCTCTATGAAAGGAATTACACTTGGAGATCCTGGATAGAGTGGGAGAAAAATGTGGAACACGACTTAAAAAAAAAAAAAACAGGCTTACTAGTCTGATAGACTTGTAGAACCCCCAAGACTACAGCCCTTAGTCACCCTTCAATCCTGGAACTCCAGTACCTCAACTTTCAGCCAAATAACAGATAGGCCTATGGAGGAAACAATAAGGAGGTATGCACTTCTTAGAACAATCAACCACATGAGATCAAAAGGGCATCGTTTGCTCAGGGATAAAGCTCAGAAGGCAGGAATGGATAGGAAAAAAGGAGCAATGTAAATGGTAACCACAAGGAGGAAGTGGGAAGAGTACTATTATATTCTGAGGACTGTATTTAATGTCATGAAACAGTATGTGTATAAACAACTGAATGGAAAACCAATTTTCTCTGTAACTTTTCACTCAAATCACCATAAAAGTAAAAAAAAATAATAATAAAAATTGAAAAAAGCTAAGTCTTACTGGATTGAATATGAGGAACAATGAATAAATAACAATGTTGCCACTTGCATTAGTTTATTACTTCCTTTAATGAGCAGTACAGTGGAGAAAAGCATACTCTTTTGGCTGATAATATTTAGGGAAATGGGGTCCTAAATGGAAGAGTAGAGTGATTCATGAGCATGCCAGTAACTGTACATCAAAATACACTTTGAGAAAGCTATACTGTAGTTAACCTAACATTAAAATTATCAATAATTATATTAATCTTCTAACTCAATTTGAACCACCAGCCTTCTGGTTAGCAGTCACCAGAGCTCTCAAAGTTACCAATAATTATATTAATCCTCCAACCCAAAGGATGCCATAGAACAGGGTAAGAACAAAAATTTTTTAAAGTTAAACAAACTATTCCACAATATAATAAAAGATGGAATCTTCCCAAATTCATTTCATGAAGCAAGAATAACCCTGATACCAAAACCAGGCAAAGACACCACTAAAATGGAAAACTATAGACTAATATTTCTCATGAAAATAGATGCAAAAATTTTCAATGAAATCCTAGCCAACAGACTCTAATAACATACCAAAAAAATAATATATCATGACCAAGTGGGATTCATACCAGGTATGCAAGGATGGTTCAACATTAGAAAAACAATCAATATAATCTATAACATAAGTAAAATAAAGGAAAAGAACCGCATAATCATATCAATCTGTGCAAAAAGACATTTGATAAAATCCAACACCCGATTCCTGATAAAAACTCTCAGCAAAATAGGAATAGAAGGGAAATTCCTCAACATAATAAAGGGCATATATGTAAAACCAACAGCCAACATTACTCTCAATGGAAAGAGACTCAAAGCTTTCCCCTTGTGATTGGGTACCAGACAAGAATACCCTCTTATCACCACTTCTATTCAACATTGTAGGAGCTCTGGTAGCATAGTGCCTAAGGCATTTGACGGCTAACCAGAAGGCTGGTGGTTCAAACCCACCAGCCACTCCTCATGGAAGGCTGGGCAATCTACTTCTGTAGAGATACTACCTCAGAAACCCAAAGAGGAGTCACTATATGTCGAATCAACTTGATGGCAGTGAGTTTGGTTTGGTTAGGTTTTATTCAACATTGTATTGGAGGTCCCAGCCAGGGCAATAAAGCAAGAAAGAACAATGAAAGGCATCCAAATTGGTAAGGAAGATGTAAAACAATTCCTATGTGCAGATGATATGATCCTATACACAAAAAACCTGAAAGACTCATAAAGAAAACTATTGGAACTTATTAAAAGATTTAGCATAATGGCAGAATACAAAATCAACACACAAAAATCAGTTGGATTCTTCCACACCAGCAAAGAGATCTCTGAAAAGGAAAAAAGGAAATCAGTATCATTTACAACACCTACCAAAAAGATAAAATACTTGGGAATAAAGCTTACTAGAGATATAAAAGACCTATACAAAGAAAACTACAAAACACTACTTCAAGAAACCATAAAAGATTGGCATAAATGGAAGAACATACCATGCTCATGGGTAGGAAGATTGAGCACTGTAAAAATGTCAATACTACCAAAAGCAATCTATACATTCAATGCAATCCCAATCCAGATTCCATCAACATTCTTTAAGGACATGGAACCAACTAATCTTATATGGAAAGGAAAGAGACCTTGGATAAGCAAAGCACTACTAAAAAAGAACAAAGTAGGAGGTCTCAGACTCCTGGATCTCAAAAGCTAATGTACAGCTATAGTAGTCAAAACAGCCTGCTATTGGTACAATAACAGAATACAAACCAAGTGGAACAGAGTTGAGAACCCAGAAATAGAACCATCTACCTATGGTCAGCTGATCTTTGATAAAGGCTGAAATCCATTAAATGGGGAAGAGATAATCTCTTTAACAAATGGTACTGGAAAACTGGATATCCATTTGCAGGAAACTGAAACAAGGTCCATACCTCACACCATACACAAAAACTAACTCCAGATGGATTGAAGATTTAAATGTGAAACCTAAAACTATGAAGTTTTATAGGGGCAAACTTAGGGCCCTAATATATAGTATAAACAGACTATCAAGCATAACTCAAAATGCACACACAGCAGAAGATAAACTGATGATTGGGACCTTCTAAAAATTAAATTCTTATGTGCATCAAAAGAATTCTCCAAGAGAGTAAAAAGAGAACCTACAGACTGAGAAAATATATTCGTCAACGAATATTTGACAAGGGACTTATCACTAAAATTTATAGAAAACTCCAACATCTCAACATTAAAAAGACAAACAATCCAATTAAAAAATGAGCAGAACACATGAACAGACACTTCACCAAAGACAATATTCAGGGGGCCAATAAACACATGAAGAAATATTCATGATCATTAGCCATTAGAGAGATGCAAATCAAAACAATAAGAAACCATCTCACCCCAGCACTAATAGCAAAGTTCAACAGGACATAAAATAACAAATGCTGGCGAGGATGTGGAGATATTGGGACTCTCATACACTTAATGGTGAGACTGTAAAATGATACAACCACCATGGAAATTGGTACGGCGATTTCTTAAAAAGTTGTAAATAGAAATACCATTTGATCCAGCAATCTGTTACTAGGTATATATTCTAAAGAAGTGAGAGTCAGGACATGAACAGATATACGCAGCAGTATTCACAACAGCAAAGAGATGGAAACAACCTAAGTACACACAATGGTATACTACACAACACTAAAGAATTACGTAGAATTTACCGCATAATGTGGATGAACTTGGAGGACATTATACTGAGTGAAATAAGTCAATCACAGAAGGATAAATATTGTATTAGTCTAATATTGTAAAAAGTTAAGGAAATGTTTATATATAGAAGGAAATTTTCTTTGTTGGTTACCAGGCATGGGAGGGGAGAGGAAGGAAAAGTGCTAGATAGGTAAGAGACAAGTATTGATTTGGGTGAAGGGAAAGACAATATACCAAAAGTCAGTGATCAACAAAATAACACTAAGGAAAAGGAAGACACAAAGAGGTGCACAAGAGGTACAGACACAAAGATAAACACTTTCACATACACAATATTGCATTAAAAAAAAAAAAGTTAAACAAGGGAGATGCAAAAAAAGAAACAAAATTGGACCATCAAAGATTATGACTTACAGATTTTTGGATTTCCTTTTACAGGAAACTTCACAATCATTTCCTGGGGATTTGTGCAGATGAAAACAAATGGAGAATCAGATTCTTGACTGAGATCTGGATACTGTGAAATATAAAAATAAAAAGTTCAGGCTAGTTGGGACAAATTTTGAATTTTAAGGAGATCAAAGAACATCCTAGATTTTACCTTAGTGTTCAGATGATATTATTCTCTATTTTACAGTCAAGTAAAAAGGATTATGTTCAACAAGCAAGAACAAATCTTCGCCTTTCCTAGATATCAGCACGGTATTCTCACACAATCTATTGCCTGCCATCTCTTACTTCCTATAAAAAAGGGATGCCTGACATGCTCCCAAAAGAAGAATCACAATTCACCGTCTTCTAACACAAGAAACTGTGGATCAGGACATTCAGAAGTCTCCTTCAGGAACATCAGGCACCTCCTAGATTCAAATCAAGCAAAGCCCTGGAAAGACTAAAGAACATTTGTGGAAGTCCTGCCAGAAACAGTAAACAGAGTCCTTCTCTCACTAAAGAAAAGGAAGATGATTCATTCTGAAAGGTATGAACACGCAAGAGCTGTTTTACTGGATGAATTCCAGGTTTAATTAGGGTGAAAAAGTAGAGTAATTCTGAAAGTAGTTAGAAGCTTTCTTTGGATCCCTTTCACAAAAAATATCTGGGTGACTATTTAGGACTTTATTCCTTCTGTAAAATAGACACAGATTATGCTGGCCACACAATCACAATTTAAGAAACAACTAGGGAGTGGCAGAAAACATTCTCTACAAATTTCCAACTGATCTGATATTTCATAATTTCTATCTTGGGATGTCTTGTGTTTATCATATTCAAACATGACTCATGGGTCAGAGTTCATTACCAGAGAAGCCTTTCTCCTAGTAACTACCATCAATTCACCTGCCAGAAAATTATATATGTATCCTCTAAAGATTTAAGCCTCTAAAGTAGAAACGGACATTGTTATAAATGAATAAGAAACTTCAAGTTTCTCTGTAACCAGTGGGAGAATAAACAGTTGAACTTTTTCACTGTCCACCCTGTCCTAGGTGATAAGTAATGCTATAGGGAAAAGAAGGGATTTTTACCAACTTTGGGTCCTGGCCACATACTATGGTTTTCTGTGTGAAACAGGTGTTGCACGTACTTTGGTAAAACATAAGCTTAATATCATGTATCAGCCACAACCATATTGGTAGGCAGGATCAAAATGTTCACAGTGGAAAACAAAGGCTAAAGATGGGAGGGCAAGCTCTCTTCATCCCCTACCTCCTGAAACTTCAGAATTCAATGAAAAACAGGGTCCACTATGATTAGTTAGAAGGAAGTAAATTCTGCACAAGACCCATGTTGAGGTACTTCAGCATGAATAAGACTAGAGGCTGCCATCAAGATCTTTAATCCTAATTCTATAGAGGCCAAACAGCAGCAGTCACAATTTTTGTCTCCTCAAACTTCCTGTTCTCTTCTTCTCCATGGCCTAGAGAGTTCAAGGCAAATGATACTGCTGCCAGGATTTCACAGCTCTGCTTTTCTAAAACTTCAAGCCTCGCCTCTTTCTTCTGCATCAATAAGTTTTTTCCCCTCTCTCCTGGATCAATCCCATTAACACAAAAACATTTTGTAATGTCTCCCATAAAACAAAAAGTAAAAAATTTCTCTCCTGATCCCACATCCTCCTCCAGCTACTACCTCACTTTTCAGATCCCCTTTACAACAAAATTCATAAAAAGATTATCTATGGGACTGAATTGTACATGTAGAAAGTATTGGAATGGTATATATTTTGTTATGTATTTTTTCACAACTAAAAAAGAATTATCTATATACTTGCCTCTAGTTCTCCTATTTTTCTCTTAAATTCACTATAAACAAGCTTTCAACTCCCATGATTCCATCAAAACTATTCTTCCAAAGACCATTGTTGTCCTTCATATTGCTAAATCAAATGCTTCTTTTTTTTTAATTGTGATTTGGGTGAAAATTTACAGAGCAAATTCACTTATTTCATGACATTTGACCACAATTCACCACAATGCAACAACTCCCCTCCCACTTCCTCCCAACAGTCACCTCTTCCCTTTGTCCATCCCTCCATGCACCCCTGCCCCCCCGAGCTGTCTCCCTGTGCATAAACAGCCCTTCTTTCTCCCATGATTGTTCTTTCCATGGAGTGTATTTACCTCAGGTAAATATTCAACTCATATGCCTGTGTTTTGTTTGGCTGGAAGCCACAGGTGTGGGTTCAATTCAAGACCTGAAGGGCAGCAAGGGGCCATAGTCTCAGTGGTTCCCACCAGGCTTTATCACACCAGCAAACCTGGTCCCCCTTTTTTCTTTTTCCTAAATGCTTTTGAGTTTGGTTCCACATTGTTCTCGTTCTCTACCCACGGTCTCTTACATAGATCCCCCTCCGAGTGGTTGACAGTGGTAGCCAGGCACCATCTAGTTCTTCTGGTCTCATGTCGTATAGAATGCAGATCACATGGTGTACCAGTCACTAGGACTAATTCTTTCCATGAATCTTTGGTTTTCTTCATTCTTCTTTGCTCTGGACGAGGAGAGACCCATTGTTGCATCTAGATGGCTGCTTGCAAGCTTTTAAGATCCCAGTCACTACTCGCCAAA